TTTTCGTTTTTATTGGTACCAGGGATCGAACTCACGACTGCCTGCTTGCAAGGCAGGTGCTTATGCCGCTGAGCTAAATCCAGTGAGAGCCAGAGGTAAGGATCAGCGGTGCACAGATACATGGCTGGTGGCCTACTGACTCTACCTCACACTGATCTCACAGTGGGAGACAAGCTCCCTGCAGACAGTTAACTCCCTTATCCTAGTCTTTCACTCACCTTCATTTCCAATCACTGTTGCAAATACTAATTCCTCGCTTGTTAGCGTTACTTATTACCAGTTGACTTTCTTCTAGCTGCAGAAGAGGTAGAGTTAGGCCCTCTCTTGTGCTTCTAACCCCACCAAGCATTGCATCCATTTTCTTAATGTGGTTACCTACTTTGGTGAAATCATTATAGAATATTTTATTCTTATGTCTAAGTAAATATTGTATGCAACAAAATTTTATTTCATATAAGTATTTGGTGGAGGTGGAGGGTGTTGAGACAGGGTCTTGCTATGTAGTCCAGACTGGCCTTGAACTCTCTATGTAACCCAGGCTGGCCTTGAACTTATAGAGATCCTCTTACCTCAGCCTCCTGAGTGCTGGGATTACAGGTGTGTGCCACCATGCCTTATTGTACATTATGATATATTTTCTTGTTTTGTTTACTTTTCCTACAGTTGATAATTGCCTATTATTTCATTTGTTTAGTTATTTATGTACACCTAATGTTTAAGATCTTTGACAAAATTTTATTTTATAAGGACTTTCGGGGTTTTTTTGATAGTGTTGATGATTAAGCCCAAGGCTTCATACCAATAAGTTTTCTACAACTGAGCTTTACCCTCAGCCCTGACAAAATTTCAACAGAATCTTCTTAGCAGGGCATGGTGGCACACGCCTGTAATCCTAGTATTTGGGAGGCTGAGGCAGAAGGATCACCGTGAGTTCGAAGCCAGTTCGAAGCCAGCTTGGACCATGTCTCAAAGAAAGGAAAAAAAGTTCTTGAATGTGTTCAAATAAGATGGCAGCCCAGCCCTACCCCCTAAAACGCCCCTGTAGAGGCACCAGTGGTCTCCCATGGATTTAGCCTGGCCTGGTGGGCCTTCTGCACACTGTTGCTCTGGAAATCTTTCTACCAGGAAATACTGGGGGTGTCTTCTCCTCCCTCCTGCTGGTTCCCCACTTTCCAAATACCTCTCTTTCCTCATATGTGTTAACTTGTTTTGGTGAAGAGAGGTGCCCAGGAGCTTTCTGTGAAAGAGTACAAGACACTTCGGTTTTTGAGACCTTGAGCTTACTCAGACATACCCTTCTTTATAGTCTCTGTGTTCTCGATGCGGAACTCAGTTTGGAGAGTCCCTTCCCCAGCATTCCGAAGCACCGCTCCAAGGTTGGGGCAGCTGCTCGGCAGCCCAGTGTCTATACATCCTCGACATCGCAGAGATAGCTGATAGTTCTTAGTTGTTTGTTCACATGTAAGCTTTATGTGCACAAATGGGAATTTTTGATGTCTCAGCTTCCTTGTAGGGTGACTAGGGAGAGAATGTATTGTCAGAAGATCCCCCAAGGCCATTAGAATTATAATTCTGTTCTCTTGGGCTCATTAATTTCCCCAGAGAAAAAACCCTCCAATCTCTCTGCCATGAATATTTTAAACAAAAGATGGGAGGAATCAGGAGTGAGAGTGTCTTACTTGGGCCATGGCTGTGCATTCAGTCTGTGTTTGGTTGCACCTGATGCCTGCTCTCAGAGGGAGAGTTACGTTCAGCATCCTGTGGGGCAGTTCCTTGGCTGTGTGACTGGTGCCAGACAAAGGGTACTAAAGCTACCTGCCCCTTGGCACCACTTTGGGAAACCCTCTGCATTTTTGCTCACCCCACATGCCTGTTTTCAGAGGTTCCTGAAACTGCCAGTCCATGTGCCTGCTGGGTTGCAGCGTGAAATGGGCTGTGTCTTCCTGGTTTATATGTCCCCTCCTAGTCCTATTTCTGCAGCCTTGAGTTCTGTTCCCACCCATAAGTCAATGCCATCTGTCTATCCACTATCCGGCTTCCAAAATGATGTCCACAGTACACACTGGCTGTCTCTTCGTATAGTGTGGAGTAGGGATTTTTTTTCTGCAATTCTAAAAGGATATGATTAGAAGCACTGACACAAATGTATGTTCCATGTGCCATACTTAAAAAGAAGTCTATTCATATATTCCTAATTTCATTTTTGATGACCTACCTATTCATGTTCTTTTTTTACTGTTAAGACTGTTCATATTTCTTTTCTGACATTTAAGAGATCTTTACATATAAAAGAAGTTATATGAGTGTTAAATATAAAATATCTCCTGCTTTTGAATTATCTGGTAGACCACTTTATGTACAAGCATTGGTGAGAATTTTTAGCATCCACATTTGCATTTGTGAGGTCTGTGAACAGAAGCCCAAGTAATATCATGCACAGAGTAAACGAAGGATGCGTAACAGCTTGACTACAGTGCAAGGAACTGAATCAGCCCAGCGTGTGCCAATCACAGCGCATGACTGCAGAAGCCTGCAGCAAGCTGGGGTGCCAGCACCACACTCTCCTGCACCCTGTGTTTGTGCGCACAGCTCGGATCATCTATTCCTGACAAAGAATGCTTTCACCTTCTTCCCAATTCCAGCAGTACCTGAGTCTGATAATAGTTAATCTACAATTAAGTAATAGTACAATCCTAATTTTACCCTCCAATGAATAAAACAGCTTTATAAAGTTCTTATTAAAATTGTAATTAAGTATAAGTTCTAATTTTCTGGGACTTAACAAAAAACCTAAAGTTGTATCACATTGTAAGCTACAGTTATATGAGGTGTGTGTTTACGTTTTTAAAAAATTGATCACAGTAAAAGACACATTGTCATTAATCCCCTCAGAATCTCCCCCCTAACTTTGCACACATTATCCCTCCCCCCGCCTCTTCTTTCACTTTCTGAAGCAGTGTTGGAAGTCTGCTTTCTTGAGTGTCTTTAGCTGTGCTCTCTTAAGGTCCTGAATTGGTTCAGATTGTTCACCTTTCATAGTCTTTTTGACTTTGGGGAAGATCCAGACATCACACAGTGCCAGATCCAGTGACTAAGCAGGGAGAGGACATAGCGTATTATTTTAACCAGATGCCTTTTCTGTTGGATGGCGCTGGCAGCTGCATTCACTGTATTTATGATCACCTTGTAAGACTTTCCTGAAAGAGGACGTCCAGAACTGCTTCAGAAAATGGCAAGATCACTGGATGACCATATTTCTGTCCCACCTCATGCCCACCTTCCTTGTGAGTTCCCATTTTTCCCCGCCTTGGACCTCTCTCACCTCGTGGTTTTGCTCTATAAAAGTCTCCAGAAAAGGCAGAGTTTTTGGCATCCCACTCAGGATCCCTTCTGTCTCTCTCCCAGGCAAAAGCTTTCTTTCAAGAAAGGTATTCTGCTCTTTAAAAAAGAGTGGGAAGAATGATAGGATAAGTGCATTTGAAGGGTGGGGTAGCATTTTGAGAGGTTTAATGGCAATGTGTTTTGTTTTGCTTTTGTTTTTTGAGGCAGGATCTCATGGAACGCACTCTGGTCCTGGGCTGGCCTCAAACTCATAGTGATCCTTCTGCCTCAACTTCCCAAGTGCTAGGGTTAGAGGTGTGCATCACCACACCTGGCTCAATACACCTTTTACTGTAATAAAGTTTTAAAAATTTAAACGTTCACCATATATTATGATCACATTTTACATAAACAACCTTTCTTGCCAGTTAAAAATCAAATGTAGATGGATAACTGCATGTATGTTTAAGTGTATGGGATTGACAACCATGTTACTAAGTTTTTGTTGGACAGTTGAACGAGAACTGTTTGCAGTCTTGCTGTTTGAATTCCCACTTTACATATTCCATTTTTGTATCTTGAACAACTATTTGTAAAATGACAATATGTAAACATCAACTAGTGATTTCTTACTGTTTATTGTTTTCTCTGAATGTATGTATTATTTCTTCCTATTTTTTGTTTTGTTTAGTCTGTCTTTAAATAAAATTTTAAAAAAATCAAATGTAGAAACAGGTGAAATATCAAAACCATCCTAAGAAACACAACATCAGCTGCTCCACAAAACTTAACAATATATTGCATTATGTTACAGATGTTACAATACAGTACCGGTTACAGAACGTCCCATATATAATTATATCTATATTTATATATCTACATGGAGAGAAGTTTGATTTAACGAAATTGACTCATGTGATTATAGTGAAAGGTAAGCTCAACATTTCTGGGCAGGCTGGGGGCTGAGGCCCAAGGAGGCTGATGTAGCTCAAGTATAAGGGCCGTTCACTGGCATAATTCCTTAACACTGGGAATAATTCAGTGTTTATGTCTTAAGGCCTTTAGCTGATTGGCTGAGTCCCACCCACATTGTGGCGTTTGTCTGTTTTACTCTAAGTCTACAGATATGTCAATTTTTGTCTTTTAGTACCAGGAATTGAACTCAGGACCTCACGCTTGCCAGGCAGGTGCTCTGCCGCTGAGATATATCTCTGGCCCTTTGTTTTTGTTTGGACACAGTGTCTTGCTATGTATTTTACGCTGGCCTTAGGGTTACTGCTTCCTGAGTAGAACTGGGATTTCAGGCATGTGTCACCATACCCAGCTTCTAAGTATCAATTGTATCTAAAATATGTTCTCACATGTCCCATGTACATATTTTTGAAGAATTATTATGAAATCACATTCGTGTGTTTTTAAAAGCACCTGAATCCTCCTCATGTTAAAGACACTGGCCTATGGACCTGGAAAGGCTTGTCAAAAATTTTTCCCTAAGCTGAGAAGCACTTTTCTTCCGAGATAAGTGCTACCTGTACCCTTGCACTGCAGGGGCCCATCGGCCACCCCATCTGCTGGGCTCCTTGGCCCCAGTCTATCTACTGCACAGCATAGGCTCTGCCTTTTCTCTCAAAGCATTTGGCTCCCCGTGTTTCTCTTTAATCTACTTCTCCTTTAGGTTTGGCTTGTGATGGCTTCAATGAACAACCATTGTTTACCATGACCTGTACCTCGAAGCTGGGGGACCATGGTTCTCTTGGTCCAGGCCCATGTCACAGGCGTGGGGCCTCAGGGAGTCCATGGGCCAATTAAGCAGGAGCTTTGTATAAGGGATGCTTTGATTTCTTGTCTCCCACAAACGTCATCTCATGCAGAAAAGAGGACTGGACAACTATTTCACTAAAACGCGAAGAGTGCAAGAAACCCACTCTCCGGTTCCAGCACAGCAGTGGTCCAGGAAGCCACGAGGGGACATCAGGCCCCGCTGGGACTGCTCACACGGTCAGGAGCACTCACATCCTGGCTGTAAGTAGCACACAGCAGCCGAGCAGGCAGCTTGTTAATGAGGTCGCTCACGAGTATGCATGATTTATGTTCTTTGAGGATTTGCCATTTTTTTTGAACTCCAGATTTGGTCCCCTTTTGATGATGATGCGACATGACAGAATCATGTCAGATTCCAACGAACCGCACTCTCTTTTTTCCTCTGCGCCTCTGTCTCTGTCTCCATTTTTGCCTCTCTCTACCTCTATCTCTCACCGTCTGTTTTTTTCTGTGTCTTACTCTTTATCTCTGTGTCTATCTCTTTGTCTCATTCTCTTACTTTGCGTTTCTCTGTGTCTCTCTTGGTCTCTTTCCGTCTCCATCTGTGTCTGTCTGTCTCTATCTTTGTTCACCTGTTTTTCACTTCAGTCTCAAGCACCTGCCATCAACCCTGGGCAGAGTGGAGGCAGGGAGAAGGCAGGCAGGGTCTCGCCTCCAGCACACACTTGCCAAGTGTTCCATTTGGAGTCTGGCTCAGCCTGCCCTCCCGGGCCCCCCCGCCTTCCTGAGCTACATGCTGCAGGAGGAGGGCTGGGGATTTGCAAAGATCCACCTGTGCCCAATACAGCAGAAGCTGCTGGGAGGGTGAGTGTCCCCCACCTCCCCCAGCCCAGCTCTGGGGCAGCTCCTCCTAGCTCTGAGAAATCCTGAAAGAGGAAAGGACCCTCAGGAAGTATCCCTTCCATCACGTCATCCTGGAGATGCTGAAAAAGGCCTCTGCTCTCCATTCCCCATCTCCAGGCACATGTACTGGGAGGAGACAGGAGCTTCCAAACCGTCTGTCCCCTGAGTTGAGCAGGAAACAGGATAAAGAATCATGGCTCACTCTTTCATTCAGTCAATCGATCTTCCATTTGATTAATAAATATACACTGGGTCCCACCAAGCCTATGCTCCTGGCTTCTGCAAGGCCATCTGTGTCTGTGTCACAGCCAAGTAGAGAAGACAAGGAAGTAAGCCAAGATCTTAGTGCGGTGGGATAAGCTGCTGAGGTAAGTAGCTACTTCTCTAGAGACCAGGCGTCACCCCTTGCACCGAGACGATGTCCTATTTTTGGTCATTAGGAATGAGGTGACTCTAGGCACCTCACAGAAGTGGAGTTATGCACTAATTATCTTTTTGTGACAGGACTGCTTACATGGTATAAGGTCCTCAAGGTTTGTCTATGTCGTTGCATGTGTCAGAGTCGCCTTTTTTCTCAAGGCTGAGGAGGATTCAGATGCTTTTAAAAACACACAGATGTGATTTCATAATAATACCAACTTTTCTTTACCTCTCCATCTGCCAGTGGATGGTTGGGGCTGCGCCACCTCTTACTACTGTGAATAGCAGTGCCATGGCCACTGGTATTTGTTGAGCCCTGCTTTCCATTCTTTTGTGTGCATACCCAGAAGCAGAGTGGCGAATCAGATGGTGATTCTCGGCTCCATTCTTTCATGAACTGCATTCTGTTTTCCCAAGCTGCTGCAGCTGGTTATATTGCCCCCAGAAGAGACAAGGACTCAGTTTTTCCAGCACTTGTAGTTTGTTTTTATTATAGCCATCACAATGGGTGTGAAGACGGGTTTGATTTCCATTTTCCCAATAATTAATAATATTGGGAATCTTTCTTTTTCTTTCTGTCAGTACAGAAGATTGAGCCCAGAATCTCTGGGCACTGAGATACGTCCCCCGTTCTTTTTTATTTTTTTATATTGAGACAGGATCTCACTATGAGCCCAGGCTGAGCTTGAATTTGCAATCCTCCTGCTTCAATATCTGAGTGCTGGAAGTACAGATTTGTAACACACACCTGGCTAGGCATTGAGAATCTCTTTATGTGCTTACTGGCTATTTGTACCTCTTCTTAGAGAAATATCTGTTTAAATCCATTGCATATTTTGAAATTGGGTTTAATTTTTGGTTGGTATATGCTGGATATTAACCCCTTATCAGACATATGAATTGCAAAAATTGTCTCGCATTTCACTGGTTTTAGGCTTTTTGTTTTTTCTTTTTACTCTGTTCATTGTGTCCTGTAACACAGTTTTATATTCTTTTTTTTTTTTTGTCTTTTTCCTTTTTATCGGTACCAGGGATCAAACTCACAACTGCCTGCTTTCAAGGCAGGCGCTTATGCCGTTGAGCTAAATCCCCAGCCCCCACAGTTTTATATTGTAATGTAGTCCAGTTTATAGTATTTTTTCCCTTTACTGCCTTTTGGTGTCACAGCTAAGAAATAATTGCTTATTCCAGTGAAGTGAAGCTTTCCTCCTATTTTCTTCTAATTGTTTTATCACTTGAGTTCTTATGTTTAGGTTTTAATTTACCTGGAATTAATTTTATATATGTTGTAAAGTAAGAGCCCTTCTCACTCGTCTGCATGAGGATGCCCAGATTTTCCAGCATCTTTCATTGAACAGACTTTCCTGTAATACCAGCATTCAGAAAGCTCAGGCAGGAGTATTGTTGAGAGTTTGAGACCAGCCAGGGCTACAAAGTGAGCTTAAGGCCAGTCTGAACTGCATAGTGAAACTCTGACCCCAAAAGATTAATTAATTAATTAATTAAATTCTTATGGACTCTCAAGAGATACAAATAGTTAACAGACTTAAAAATAAAGAACAAAGTTAGAAATCTCACATTTCCTAATTTCAAAACTAACTACACAGTTTACACTAGTCAAAAAATGTAGTGCTTGGTATAAAGACAGACAAAGATGAGAAAACAGACCTAGAGAGCCTATCAATAACCCTTCTGCATGTGATCAATTGATCTGCAGCAAGATGCATGATCATTCTTTGGGGGAAAAGGGAGGAAAGTCTGTTCAATGAAAGGTGCTGGAAAATCTGGGTGCCCTCATGCAGAAGAATGAAAAGGGACTCTTACTTTACAACATATATAAAATACTAGCCTGAAATACATAGTGAGACTTTGTTTTAAAAACAAACAAAAATTGGGTGTGATGTTGCACACCTATAATCCCAGTACTCAGGAGGTGGAAGAAGAGTTCGAGGCCAGCCTGGCCTAGAAAGTGAGCTCAAATCCAGCCTGAACTGCATATAGTAAGAGCCCGTCTCAAAAAGAACACACACACACACACACACACACACACCCATTACCACAACCACCAACCAAAAAAAAACCCAATGCCAAAACCAAAACTAGAAAACAAAAGGCTCGGTGATGCATGCCTGCGGCTTACTGCAAGTTCAAGTCCAGCCTGAGCTATGTTGTGATTTCAAGCCTGAACTATATAGCAAGACTGTCTCAAAAACCAGCCAGTCAAACAATCAACAACAACAACAAAAAATCAAAAACAAACAAAAATCATTAATCCATGACCATGGGATATACATACACTTAAAGGACCCCTTTTAAATTTCTTTCAGCAATATTTTGTAGTTTTTTTGTACAAGTCTTTTATATCCTTTAGTTAATTCCTAAGTATTTTATTTATTTTTATTTTGATGCTATTATAAAGTGCATTGCTTTTTAAAATATCCTTTTGTGGTTGCTTATAGTTTATAGAAGTGCAACAAATTTTTTGTGTTAATTTTATGTCTAGCATCTTTGCTTAATTCTTTTATTAGCTCTGACAGAGTTTTTTGGTGGAATTTTTAGGAGCTTCTGCATAAAAGATTATATTATGTATGAACAAAGAGCTTTATTCCTTCCTTTTCAATTTTAATGCCTTTTATTTCTTTTTCTTGCCTAATTATTCTGGTGAGGACTCTAGCATTATGTTGAGTAGAACTGGCAGGCTGGGGGTCCTTTGGTGTTCCTGATCTTGGAGAAAACACTGTTTTCCCCACTGAATGTGATGTTAGCTTTGAGTATGCTATTTTAAGACCTTTATTAGAAGAAAGTTTTCTTATGTTCCTAGTGTGTTGAGTGCTGCTATCACAACAGTGTTCAGCGTTGTCAAATGATTTCTCTGCCTCAGTTGAGATAATCTTAGGTAGGTTCTTCATTCTGTCGAGGCAAATAGGACATTGTTTAATTTCCACATAAGGAGCCATCTTTGCATTCCAGGAATAAATTCCACTTGGTCTTGGTATATTGCCCATTTAATGTGTTGTTGAATTCTGTTTGCAGGTGTTTTGTTGAAGAATAATGCCAACTTTTAGAAATGAGAAAGGTGGACTCCAAAGAGATGAGAGACCTAGATAAGGAGGGCCCCTTATCTAGGAAGCGGTTCAAGTTGGAGTTCCAACTGAAGCCTGCCTGATCTCAGAATCCACAACATTTTCAACATGCTGGGCTGTCTCATCACCCCACATTCAGGTAAACAGTGGGACATGTGAGCTAACAAATTCTAGCTTTGTAAATTTAGGAGAAAAATACTTTAAATTTTTGTTGAACCCCAGGTTGCACATGTAAAAGAGGGGTCATGTCACTAACTTGCTAGAACGGTGGTAAACCTTAGACACAATTCTGAAACACTGTGAGCTTTTAACACACGTATGACCTTCAGACCCGTTCTGGGTCTCCCACCTCAAATGAGACTTGACTTGCTCAGTGATCTTGGACAGAGGCTTTATTTGCAGCCTTTTGATCAACCTAGTTTTTCTTTTATATAAATTCTCCAGAATACTAAAGGTTTCAACAAGTGATCTTGTATTTCTGTCCAATAAGCATATTCTCATTTCTTTTAAGACTTGTCAAATCCTTCCTGCATCTCCCCTCTAAATAACTCCTGCCATTGACATTTTAAATGTTCTTATCTTTTTAGCTCTGCTTTGGCAGTCTTGATCATGTCTTCAATTCTTTCCCTTCCTTTTCTTCTTTTTTGCCAAGGTTGGTACTCAGACCCGAGCTGGTGAAAGTACCTGGTGTCTTTAAGAACATGTTGCCTCTTTCATCAGAGCAGATCCATGTGAACTACTTCTGGGTAACCCTGGTGACAGGACACCTGGGATTCACTGTGGTGCTGAGATTTTCTAAGGAGCTGAAGAAAAGAGTGGCATGCTCACAGACATTCCGGAAGACCTCCTGGTCCACAAGTTTGTTAATTTAACAAGAACTCACTCTTTTCTTTGGAAGTGAGCCACACAAAGCAGAGTCCTCAGAATTCCTTGTGGGACTGTCAGGAAGGAGGTGTGTGCACACATTTAGAGATGACAGATGACCAGAAAGAGAGGGCGCTCTCTATACCTCCTTCTCAATTGTCTTTCTCAATTCATTTCAGTACAGTCTGTCCATCTAGGGTTTCTCGACGGCAGAGGCCACAGTTTCTCCATAGTACTAATTTAAAATACAGAACCCTGGGCCCCAAGTGAGTCAAAATCAGGATTTGTGATACAGATAACTCCATTAAGCACAATAACTGAAAACAAAGTTCTCTGCTCTGATAAATGAATTGAAGCTACCATCCCCGAAGTCACATTTGCCATATAAGAAAGCACAGCCACTCTTAATGCAGGGAAACATGCTATAAACTGTAATCACCAGAATCACATCAGAAATTGATGATACTGGAAGAAATTGTAAGGATGCAATGCCCTGATCTAGAGCTGCCTGATCCTACAGTGTGAAACTAAAAATTGCATTTTTGGAGTTGTGTTAAAAATTAGACACAGATTTGTTGCAAAACTTCCTGGAGGACACACCTATTGGAATTGTCTACAATCCTTAGTCTCACTTCTGTGAAATTGTCCATGGTTGCTTCACAATAAATATCTTTTTAAATTAAAAAAAATGAAAGAAAGTGCATCAGCCTCTGTTCTGGGCAGCTAGGAGGAACAGGACTGCAGGCCTCTGGACTGGGCAGAAGTCAACACTGCAGAGGACCTGCACTTTACACATGGGCACGTCCAAAGCTGAGCTTTAAGAAGTCAAGTGTTTGCCCAGTGTTTTCTGCCCCCAGGCTGTGTCCCTGCTGTCCCCTGGTGTTCAACAGTGTGGGTATCTGTGCCAGTGTTTTCCCCTTCCCATTGCCACTAATTTCTGAACACATTCTACAGCAAGCAGAGCTGATGACCTACTGTGTATCACACACTGCTGGGCTGACACTGCAGACAGATGGACATGGTCTCTGTCCCCAAAACTGTACTTTCAAGTTGAGAAATAAAAAACTGCTTTCTAGTTGGTAACTGCAAAAAATTCTATAGAAAGAAAGCCATAGTCAAGTAACTGGTCATGTTATCTGCATGGTGGTCAGGATCAGCTACAATTCTCAAGCTTTGGTTGTGGGTACCATGGTGTGACATGTACTGGGTGCCTTGGGTGGCAGGAATCACAGGTGCCCAGGCAGGTGCTTGGAAGGGCTTGGAATATCTAGGAGCAGTAGAGGATGGTGGGGCTGGACCAGAGGAGAAGAGCGGGGGCAGGATATTATGAGGAGACTCAGTAGGGACCACATCCTCATAGACTGGTGGCCTTCTAGTAGGCACAATGATGTAACAGTTAAGCTTAATTATGTCTGAAGTTCAGACACACAGACTAGGTCAAATTGGAAGAAGATGGTATGTGAACTCTAGTGCCGGACCTGGCCCTCAGGTGTATCTGAGCTCTGGAGTAAGAGGCCCCATCGTGGGAACTGCACACTAGGGTCACTGCCCAGGCTTTGGAGAGCACCACACCCAATCCCCTCAAGTCATGAACTGCAAGCAAGAATTTACTGGCATCTACTCAGCCCAGTGCCCTGGCCCACTTTCTCACAGCCTCCTTTACACACATTGTTCTGGAATTTACCTGTGCTTAAAGAGGCTCCCCCACCCTACATCCCTATATACCTGCTGTTGCCGCACTGTCACTACCTGACTCCTTGTTCCTGCCCGTGAAACTTCTGGAGATGGAGTATTTTCCTCCTAAACCACGATATGGTCCCTGCCTGGGATCTGTAAGGAAATACCTGACTTCACTTCCTAGCCAGGTGGGGTGCTGGAGTTGCAATTTTCATCCAAAGAACTAGTGACTGTCTCAGGCCAGTCCCTCTGGGTAACAGGGAGCACTCACAGTCAGGTTCCCAGTGTCCAGGGAAGGTTAAACAGCACAAACTGGACCCAGATCAGGCAGGAGCCACAGGGTGCCTCACCCTAGAAACAAGCTGCCCCAGGGAGGAAACTCTGGGTTAGACAAGCAGGCATGAGGCTGCCTACCAAGTAGAGCTTTTCTGTGGGTGACATGCTGTCCACACCCCTGGGCAGTCGCTGCTTGCTTCTTGTTGGGCAGGGTGCCACCTACTCCAGGATTTCACCTTAGTTTACTTGGATGTCTCAAAGCACAACCTCCAGCCAGCTCTTGCGCCATCATCATGTCTACTTTCATGATGAAAGCACTACCCATCTGACAAATATAGACACTGACATATAGTTGAGCAGGGTCTCAAGGGGCCCAGAGCATCCATGTGATGGGTTGAGAGGAGGCACCAGGTTTGTCCCACTCTACCCTGGCACCTTTCCCCCATAGCATCTCATCCAGCCGGCTCAACCCTGGACTGGACAGAGCTCACGCAGGTTCAGGTGTTCATGTTAATGTCTGGGGACAGCTTTGCCTTGGGGACATCAGGACAAGCAGCTGCAGGCAGCTCCCCATCCATAACGCTCTGCAGTCTCGGTTCCTGCGCAACCCTCCTGCGATCTGCAGAGGGAGCATGTCATGGCCCTTGGCCCTCTGAGCCTAAATCCCAGAACTTTCTGTTACTTTATAGTTTAGAAAATATACACCAGGTGTTTCCAGGGACTGAAGGACAGATTATTTACCCAAGATCCTTCCCAAGGAGGTGTGATCCTGGCACTCTGAGGCTCTTCCTGCTCTTCCCCATGTCTGCAGAGCCTGGTCTCATGCCTCAGACAGAGGATCACAAATGGGTTCAGCTGATAGCATGTTGTAAATCGCTGGTGCTGGCAGACAGGGGAGGCTAGCCTGGTGATGCCAGGCTGGGGTGCTGACCCTCAGCACCTGCATAGAGGCTACTTGTGCTCCATCACTATCTCCCCCACTTCTGACCAGAAGAGTCTCAGAATTCTGGGGCTCTGCATCCTGACCCTGCCCTCCTACTCTGCTTTGGAAATGGTATCTGTCTTCCAGTTTGCTCCTCTCCCACCCCACTGTCTCTGTTGGCTCAGAGGCCTCTTGATGCTTTATATATGTAAGATGTCTAGCACATGTCTGGCACATGACAGCCACTCCGAGCATGCTGGCCAGGTCCCCTCTAGCCTATCTTAACATATGTGACAAAGAAATAACTAAATCATATGGCAACAATATATTCAGATTTTCTGAGATAGTCCCAAATTTAAATAATTTCATCTTTTTCAAAAAGCCACATGTTAACTGTATGATTATACAAATTTTAATTTTTGAGGAAACTTTTATCCCAGTTTTACAGCACACAAAATTCCAAGATAATATCCAAAAATTCCTGCCCTTTATCACTGTATCTGCCCTGAATAAACCAAAACCTGTGCACGGGATGGATTTCACTTTACAATCAGATTGTGTATAAATACACTTAGGATATCCGAGATGATTGTGCTACAAGTTCTATAAGTTCATAGAACAAAGCAGTTAATATTCATAGGATTGGAACAATTTTGCATGTTTGTATCAGGTGACCTGAGGAGCTCTTCAAGATCACTATGTAACGTATCAACCTTAGTTCTATTCTTACCACCATGTTTTGAAAGCCTATATTGTTACTGTTTTGGGCTCTTTGTTATTGTTATTTATTTGTGTTTTTTGTTTCTTATTTTCCTAGTAACTTGTTTTGTTTTTCCCTGTAATACAGAAAGGATAGGTATACATGTAGAGGCTTATACAGGCCTAGAACTTCTCCCAAGCAGTTTATGAGAATTGCTTATATGTGATGAAATGAACAGCTACTTTGAAGAAAAAGAGACATTATGTTATCCATTGCTGATTCTGTATCATCGTGCTGTGAAAGCCATTAATGCTTCTATTCTTTGTTCAGAGTGGTTTTAGTCTGTTTTGTGTTGTTTAATTTCAACATACATGAAGGTATGGATAGCTATTTTGAAGAGAACAAGAGACATTATGGCAGCCATTGTTGACTTTCCTATTGTCTGGCTTTGAAGGCCTTTAATGCCTTCATCATTGTTCTGATCAGTTTATTTTGTTTTGTATGAATTCGTTGTGTGTGAAGATATACACAACCATTTAGAAAAAAACAAGGGACATTATGGTTAGCCACTGTAGATCTCCTGTTGTCTTGCTTTGAAATCTGTGTCACATTGTTTTCTTCTGATCTGCTTTGTTCTGTGTTGTTATGTTTAGTTTTACCTCTTTTTAAAATAAAATTTAAAAAATAGATGCCTCATAGATCAGTAAAGCACACTTTGGTGTGTCTGTCACACTGCTATGACCCTGCAGACAGTATCTGCTTCCTAACTGCCGTCTCCTTCTTCTCCTCCTCTTTCCTCATCTCCTTCTCCTTCCTCATCTCCTCCTCCTCCTCCTCCTCTTCCTCCTCCCTCCTTTTCATCCTCCTCTTCCTGCTTCTTCTCTTTCAGGTACTCTTCCCAACCTGTTCTTCTCAGCTGCCCTGAAGCAAGCAGCTTTGCTTTACAACGCCCTTCTGCCATTACCTTCCTGCCTTGGAACCAGAAAACCATGGACTGAAACCATGAGGCAAATTAAATCTCTCTTTCTTTAAGTTGTAGGTGTCAGGTAGTGTGTTTCAGTGGCAGAAAGGCTGATCAATACACTCATCATTAGTTGACAAGGAAATACAGATTTAAAACCTCTTGAAATGCTGCTGCATACTCTTTTTGAGTTCTTAAAATGAGGAAGTCTGGAAATACAAAGTGTTAATGAGAACATCAAGCAACTGAAAGCTTCGTACATTTCTGATGGGATGCAAAATAGAGCAGTCACTTTTGAAAATAACTTGACAGTTTCTCGTAAGTTAACATTAACTTATACAGTCAGCAATCCCTTAGTTAGATATTGACTCACAAGAAATAAAAACATACATTTCTACCCAAGAGGTAAATTACAATACACACAATGACATATTACATACTCAATAATGCAGTTCAGTTGTTTCATTCTCACTGATACACTCAACACAGATGAATTTCAAATGCACTAAGTGAGATAAATCAGGCACAATGGCCATATACTTATGTTATTCCACTTACACGTTATTCTAGAAAAGGCAAAAATGAGTCGAAACAAGTAAGTAGGTCAGGACCAGAGATGGAGGAGAGAAGAGGGGGATGAGGGAACATTCAGAGAGATGGAAAAGTTCTCAGTGCTCGCTAGATGGCTGACTGAACAGGTTTGTCACAATTCATTGATCTGACCACTTAAAAGTGACAACATCTGACCGAAAAAATATTAAGTATTATTCAGGTATTTAAGTAATTTATTTTATGCTGGTATTAGTTTCTATAGCTGTGTCATAAGTCACCACAAAGTTAGCAGCTAAAACATCTATGGAATTTGTATATCCTCTAATCAGAAGCACGGGAGCCTGTGGTTGGGTCCAAAGTTCAGGGCTTTACAGGGCTCAGACTAAGCATGGGGTGCCAGATGCAGTTCTTACCTGGCAGCTCTGGAGGGAAATCTTCTGTGTTGGTTAGGTTTCCTGCTGCTGGACTCAGTGCCTAACATCTCCAATTTAAAGGAGGAGAGGTTTAATTTTATTCAGATTTTAGCAGTCTGTGGTCACCTGGCTCCAAGGCAGGAACACGATGGTGAAAATTGTCAGTTCATGGTGGCCAGGAAGAAGAAAGGAGGAGCAATGCCAAAAAGAAAAGAAGAAACCAGACATAGACCCCAAGGCCATGCTTCCATGGGCCCCCAAGACATGCCTAGAGGAGTGCTGTACCAGTATTCTAGGCAGCTTCCAATCTAGTGACAGTGAGATCTTACCTCATAAATTAAAAAAAAATTAAAGCATTTAAAAAGGGCAGTGGGAGGTGTTCATCTTGGCTGGCTAGG